TATAAAGCTGCACATTTGCAGGAGTCTGCATGGGAATATTAAAACCATCACACAGCAATGGTAAATGAACAATTGTTCGTCAGTGTTGTTGTATGTTCGTCATGCTGTGTTCTACCGTCGTCTCTTTGAGTCTCTTTTAAGTGGCACTTTTGCCCTGTGATCCTAATTATTTGAGGACCTCCTCGTTATAGCACCGATTGATGGAGGAGGAAGGAAGGAAGTTGATAATCTGTCCAATTAGTGCTCCTTCACATTTTATCTGAGCCCTTCTACTGTGCTAATGACTTATTTGTACCAATTATTTGCTTTGCTGAGCTTGTTAACCCCCGTGTTCACCTTGGAAGTTAAAGTGATTACTGTGAGGAGTGTTTCACAGTTTCCTCTTAACAGGCCCCATTAAATGAATGAGGTGATTCTTCTTTTATCTTCATATATCACTTACTTTATATCACAAAATAAACTTATAGAAACTTAAGAGAACACTTATTCATCACAGTCTAACACCAAGTCCGTTCAATTTCAGGGATATCAATCTGTCCATTTAGGAAGTGATTGTGAATCAGTTTTACCTGCCTTGGTGCAAATGGAAGTGACAACAGGTGCAATGAAGAGGCAAAAGCAAGACAAGTGTTTATATTCTAGAATTCATCAAGTGATGGTCCAGACATGATCGATTCTAGTTTTCTCTTGCCCAATACAGTTTTGGAGAAGCACTTTTATTTAACGCTGACATTGCATGTTGCTCAAATGCATATAGAAGGACCCAACAGCACAAATTCTTGCTAAATCTAAAGGTGTTTGTTGAGATTATACAGTAATATTCAGTTTTTGCTTAGATGTCAGAGATGTTCAACATCATAACCCTTTTTTAAGAATGAACACCATGTTTTTGCTTTAACAGAACCGTTAAAAAAAAGCATGCATTCAAATCCAGTCACGTCTTTGTATCCTCTTTGACATTGGTCTGTAATTTTCTTGTATACATGGTAGAATTGTTCGATTTTGTTAAGAAAAACTGACTTGTGGATTAATTGACAGGTACTGTATGATGAAGGGTCTTAGAAAGTGGATTTAGCTCTACAGTGAATTGATTTTTGGGAACCATAGTTTACTAATGAGTTTCTAATATTCCTTGTATATTTGGCCTGAAAAATTAGTTGAAAATTAGACTATGAAAAGCATTGCAAAGTTTAGTATTTATCACAGACCCATTGGATTGCATTTCACTGTGAGGTTTCTGTTATACTGCCCACCCCCTGTATGTAATTGAATACTTGATAATCAGTATGTTTTGGTTTCTTTTTACCTGAAATCTTTTCAAATTGCTCTCTGGCCCCTTGAAATAATTTAGAAATTTTTGTCTGACTTGTGGATTAATTGACAGGTACTGTACTTTTCTCCCCCCCACACACACACACCCTTGAAATAATTTAGAAATTTTTGTTTTAGTAATGTTCTCCCCAGCCTGTGTGATCAGAGATCAAGGGAAAGGCTTTTATGATGGTGAAAGCATTGAATTATACATAACAATATCAAAATAGACACACTCTAACACACACACAAAGCAATCCTCTGTTTTGAGCTCCTGATCCTGAGTGGGCTCTTGTGTCCGGCAGAGAGTGATGAAAGCTTCTCATCTTAAGGACAGGTCGGAAGATGGAGCAAGGCCTGAATGCTATCAAAGGGGCCCAAATGACCTCTGGGAGCTGAAGCATCAGTGCTCTCTGCCTCTACACAAGCTCCCTTTCATCTCTCTTTGCGCTCTGTAAGCACTTGGTTATCAAGTGAGTAAGAGGGAAAGGAGAGGGATTCTCATTTTTTATCTGTTCTTGTCTCTTAAAAAAAGAAATGCAGCACCCTCCTGCACTCCTCTCCGATTTCTATTTGGCTACTTGGTTCAGCTCAATCTCTGTGCTTGTAGAAGCTGCCACTGCACAGGAACAGATTGAAGAGAGGATACACACAAAAGAAAGATATGGAGGGGTGTAACTGCTGAAAATGGGATGGAGAAAGGGAGACGGTGGAAGTGGAAGATGGAAACATAAAAGGCTGGCTTGGTGAGACAAGAGATATGGAAACAGAGAGAAAAGGCTTGTCATTTTGCTCTCCATTCAGTCTCACGCTGCTATAAAAGAAAGATGAAATCTGAAGGCTGTCAGGTAAAGGGGAGTAAAACGTTTGCCTCCTGGCTGAAATGGACCAAGGAAAGAGAAATGGAGAGGAGAAGTACAGCACCCTGCATCACTTCTTGTTCACAGCAAAAGCTCTTGACTGTCAAGAGAACAAAGACACCTTGCATCAGGATTTCACAGGCCAAGCCCTTCAAAGTGGTTAGAAGCCTTTACAAAACGCAGCCAGCTTTTAGCGGGGATTGAGGAATTTTTTTTAATGGTTTGGGTAAAATGGCTTTTAATGGGCTTTTTTTTTGGTAACAAATCTACATTTATGCCAGTAACATAAAAACAAAGATACTTTAACATCCAGTGTATTTTATTAATACACTACGACTACTGTGTAGAGTTTCAGGTACTAAAAGTTTTATTAAAGGAGGGTGCTTTAAATATAATGAATATTTTTGTTTGACCACCCTTTGTCTTTAAAATTCTTCTGGGTACACTTGCCCACAGTTGTTCAATGTACTTGGCAGCTGTGTTGTTTCTTCCATTGTAGAGAGCTTGCCACAGTTCTTCTGTGAATTTGAGCTGTCTCCATGTCTTCTGCCTCTTCATGTGATCCCAGACTGAGATCAGGACTCTGTTTAGGCTCGTAATGCCACAGAGTGAATTTGAGACTAGTCAGATGCCTCCTTGATGGTATTTGAGTGATGGATGTTTAGTTGATATGATCCAGTGTTAACCAAATTGTGAGCCACGTAGCCAGTTGAATCTTTTGAATGAAGGCTGTGTTACTGTTAAAACATATAATCTGTACTGACATATTTTATTCTGTGTATTGAATTCTGATGACAGGCTTTTGTATTTACACCTACACTGTCATTAATCTTAACCAAAGTGTTTACTGTAGGTGCCTAAATCAAACCACAAAGGATACACAGATAACTAATCCTGCTCTCTTGAGTTTAAGTCATGATTTTTTATTTTTTTTAAAAACCACCCTGACTCCCTCCCTTACAACGTAGCTAGGACATGCAATTGCAATTATGTTTCCTCCAAAATCATATTAAGCAAAACCATTTAATAATATATAAAGATTGTTTCCAGAAAACAGGGTTACACAAGGACAAATTCAGCTCCTTAAGCTGGTACAACTGTTGTTAAAAGTACAAAATATGTACATGCATGCATAGCTCAGCCATATGTACAGAGGCTCCTGCCCACACAGTTAGGTGGTATGTGTGGCAAAGCAATCGCCCCATATTGCATCCCTAGCCACCATCTCCCTTTCTCTCACATACACAGTCAGAAATCACAGCCTTACAGTCGGCACCCCCACAAAAGTGAAAATGAATGCACTCACCACCTGTGGTGGGAGCAGAACAAGAGAGTGGGAAAGGACGTGGGAAGAAAGAGAGGAGAGAAGGAAAAGACGTGGCAACTGTTCAGGGCAGTGAGTCAGTAAAACAGGATTCACAGGCACTGACATTAATAGTATGCGTCTTTAGGAATTGTATGTAAGCCTATCCTTGAGAAATTATAATGGAGAAGTTCAGAAGTTTCATAATCATATGCTCGTACTTCTTGACATGAAATTCATTTGTGAGATATTTATCCACAAATCCTGTTTCACAATAATCACTGATATCAGCACAAGCCATGAATTCCCAAAGTAGTTTGTCTTTTTCTAAGTTGTATGTGGGAGAGTGTGAAATGTGAGTGTGACTCAATGTGTCTCTGCTGGTGCTGTGATTCAAGTGAAGCAACAGAGTAGTCACTCACTACGTCTGCGTGTGTATTTGTATGTGTGGTTTGGCAAACCACACTGATACTGAGCTGTGTGTCGCATTCCTCCCACCATTACTCTTGTCAGCAAGCCTGAAACCACAAACTGTCCCATCTGGAAACAAAGCTATTAACTCACAACAACCGTCTGTCTCTCTCACACCTTTCACTTCAGTTTAGATCTCCACTTTGCTTATTTAATATATGTGTGCGCACTGACAAACATATTAAGTCTGTGTGTCACAACCATGATATTTAAGTGATCCCATTACCAAAAATGGCACCAACTGTGTAAGTTGACCGAGTAGTGAGTTTGTCAGTTTACTAAATGAACACTAAATTCGGCTGGTCGTGAATCCAGAACTGGTTGGTGTTTAGACTAGATTAATGGGAAGTGCCATGAGGGGCCGCTATGACAAGGTGAGGGTCACATGACTGATGGAGACGGTCAACATGCCGCAATTTATAGTTAGATTTTTTTTTTATTAATGGGATAAAATGTAATAGTGCATTAGCATTTCACAAAGGCAAATTTTAAAATATGCTGCACTGCTTATTATTTACTTTTCACTTCAAAATATGGAATTTGGCCACATATTGTGATTCAGATGTGATCAGTGAAAAAACGTTTAAGTGGAAATACCAGAGATTAGCAGATTAGCTCAGTAGGTGCAGGGTTGGCTTGGCTTTCCTCATCAGTGGCATGACACTCTCCTATAGCAGCAGGTTGTAGCAGGAAATACATTTCTCAGCCTACAATGTTTGTTTTGACTCATAACCACATCAGAATT